CCCCCCCCCCCACCAACCACTCGAGGCATTACCGCCGAACGACGTCGCGATTAATCGCGCGCTTGTTGGCCAAAGACACAGAGGCCATGCGACGCACACACGTGTCTGCCACTCGTGAACTAGCGCGGTTGTCACACTCTTGTGCCCTGCAACCCAATCCAGTCTATTGCAAGGTTGACGCGGGGCGTGAGGCGGTGCAGCGTTCCAAGACAGCGCCTCCTCCTGCCCAAAAAGGGGCCAAAGGCGGCTGGCTCGGTGAAAATGAATCTCAGCTCTTGCTCCCTCTCTCTCTCTCTCTCTTTCCCTCTCTTTCTAGCTGGCCGCGCGTGGCCTCGCTGTCAAGCTGCCGCCCAAATGCCATGCGCCAACTGTGCTCATGCGCCACCCACTTGCAGGCGCATGAGACCGGTGTGACAACCGCCCGCTGCTCCCGAATTAGACCTGCTGCCGAAAAATCCAGCGGTATTTTTGTGAATAAATTTGAAATTGCACGCATTCCATTTGGCCCTTTCGGGGCGAGGGGCTGAGCATGTGCGAAGGAACGCTTCAAGCAGCTGACTTGGCAACGACACGCGAGCGAGTACGACCAAGCGATCCCAGATTCGCCCGATCCATGCGTCGTCGGAGGATGAGTAAAGCGGCACAAGCGAGCGCGCACGTCGAACCCCTCGCGTGCGTCCGAAGCGGCGGTTCGAGCCGGCGCCTTTGCTGCAATCCCACTTCACACGTGCGCCGTCACCACCAAGTTCTCGGAGCGAAGGCCCCCCCCCCCTCTCTCTCGAGCCGAAACAGCAGTGACGATCTTTCGGATTGCCCATCGTCACGCCTCCTTGCCTGGGGGTTCGGAAATCCCGCCTCCGATACGCATACGGCATTCTTTTTCGGTCCGAGTCAAGGCGCTGCACCGCCCTCGTGCATGAACGCCATCCACCATTGTGATGCAAACAATGCTCCCTTTGAAAGTGGAGCTTGCCAGCGCCGAGCAACCTTGGTTGGCGGGCGTTGATTTCCAACGCTTCCGATCCAACCTTGGATGCTCGTCATCTCCGCCTGACCTCGGCCGTTCGATTGCATCACGCATCCGGGAGCCGCAAGTCGCCGGTCAGAATGACTCTGCTCGGTACGCTGCATCGTGTCACACAAGCCCAAGGGCGCACAATGCAGGCTCCTCTCGAAACAGTCTCCACCGAGTCCCCACAACGTTGAAAAACGGTAAGCCTTCAATGTAAGATCAGCCATTATAAACAATGTCCTCTCGTAACGGCATCGGGTTTTTTTCCTCCATCGGGGTATATTGAGCCAGATGGAGACGCGATCCAACCCTGAACCCTTTTGGGCGCCATGGGTGGGTTTAGGGCTCCAACCGCTGTCGGTGGGTTCAGGGCTCGCTCAAGTCGGCTGGCTGCTACGCGCCCTCGCACACCTCCTCGCCGAGTCGCCATATCCAACCGCATCGTCAGGCTGCGCTCTGCAGCAACCCTAATCCCTCGCTCGCTCGCCCCCTCATGCCCAACTCGCACCCTCACTGCCACTCTGTCCATTGGTTCGCTTCCATTTTGTTTCGAGTGTCGCCTCGTTCCGGCTGCTTGTCAGCTGTCAAGCTCTGCACTCGCCACCTCGGTCCACTCCTCTCCGCCCTCGGCCTCCAATTTCGCGCATCGCCATTCGTCCTCTCTCCTGCACCCACGCCCCTCACACCCCACCTTCCTCCCTTCATTGCCCACACCCTCAGCCCTTGCCCTTGCCCTTGCCCTTGCCCTTCCTCCCCCTCATCACGCCCGCCCAATCGCCTCTCTCTCTCTCCCAATCAACCCTGGACCCTGCCCTTACCATTACCCTCGCCCCTTTGTCTCCAGTCGCCGCAGGATCCACGTCCCACTCCGCCCCTGCCGCCGGACGGCCCAAATCGCCATCACCCTTGCCCCCTCCGCAGCCATATCAACGCTTTCATTGCATATCCTTCCCCTTGGGCTAGAGCTCCTGGGCGTATCTCTGGCCCAAGCGTGCTTCCATAGCCTGAGCCCGTGAATGAGCAAAGCTATCCATTTGCAGATCACCGCCTGAGTCGGCCTCAGAGGCATACTGTATCGCCGTTCCTGATCCGTATCGCAAATCAACGTCCTCAGATCCTTCCGTCGAGTTGGTTCAGCCCACCGCTCATCAAACGTGGCCATCCGCTAGCAAAATCCCCTCAGCCCTCGGCCACGCCCTGCATCCCACCGTCTTCTTTTGGCAGCTCGTGCATCTCGCCGTGCCTCGTCGCCCTTGCACCCACGAACCCGCTCCTGTCTCCTGCTATCCCTTCGCCACCAGCTCAGTTTGGCGCTCTTCCAAAATTTGGATCGCTCCTTCCTTCTCAGGCAAAGGTAAACGCTATAAAGAGCTCAACGACCTAACCTTCCTTCCGTCCCTTCGTTCCTCTACCCTTTCATTCCTTCACGCCCTTTCACGCCACCGACCGGCCTTGGCCCCTCTCCTTGTCGGCTGCCCCGAGATCAAAGTCTCTCTAGCGCGTCCATCATGTCGTCCGCCGACACCAAGTCCGTCTCGGACTATGACATCGAGAAGAACCACTCTCCCACCAATGAGTCCGCCAATCAGGTCGCCATTGCGGGTCCAGCTGCGCCTCGCGTCAGCATCAAGGTGCCTCGCACCCAGACCACCCAGACCACGCGCTCCCACATCCCCATCGGTTTCCGCACCTTGAGTATCCAGGTGTACGAATCCCAGGGTATCGACTCGGCAAAGGGCGGCAAAGCCAACCTCTCCGACACCGAGTTCTTTGGTTCGCTCGATTTCCACACCGTCGAGCCAGAAGCCCTCGCGCAGAAGTTCAATGTGTCCACCAGCGCCGGTCTTGACGGTCAGGCCGCCACTCGTCGCCTCGAGCGCAACGGCAGGAACGTGCTCGTCCAGAAGAAGAACAAGTACTGGCTCAAGCTCTTAAACTACACCTTTGGAGGCTTCTGCTCCATCCTGTGGATCGGTGTCATCATCTTCTTCATCTCCTGGAAGCCGCTCGGCAACCCTCCCCAGCCTTACAACCTCGCCCTCGCCATCGTCGTGCTCATCGTCATCTTCTTCCAGGCCCTCTTCAACGCCTTCCAGGACTACTCCACCCAGAAGGTCATGAACTCCATCCTCAACCTCCTCCCCGAGAATGCAGTCGTGATCCGCGATGGCGAGCACCGCTCGCTTCCCGCTTCCGACCTCGTCGTCGGCGATGTCGTCGTCCTCTCCACCGGTAACAAGGTGCCCGCCGACATGCGTATCATCAAGGCCTCCGCCGATCTCAAGTTCGACCGCTCCGTCCTCACCGGCGAATCCGAGGAGATCTCGGGCACCGTCGAGTCGACCGACTCCAACTTTCTCGAGTCCAAGAACATCGCGCTCCTCGGCACGCACGTCTGCAACGGCAATGCCGTCGGCATCGTCGTCCTCACCGGTCAACGCACCGTCATGGGCCGCATCAACAAGCTCACCAACGACGACAAGGACAAGCCCACCCAGCTCCAGAAGGAGATCTCGCGCTTCGTCTTCATCATCATCGGCCTCACCGTCACGCTCGTACTCATCATGCTCATCACCTGGCTCGCTTGGCTCCGACGCGACCACCCCGCTTTCCTCAGCGTCGTCGGCATCCTCACCAACCTCATGAGTCTCGTCGTCGCCTTCATCCCCGAGGGTATGCCCATCGCTGTCGCGCTCACGCTCTCGCTCATCGCTCGCCGCATGCGCGACGTCAAGGTGCTCCCAAAGTCACTCGCCACCGTCGAGACCCTCGGATGCGTCAACGTCATCTGCTCCGACAAGACCGGCACGCTCACCGAGAACAAGATGTCCGTCGCCTCCATCGGCTTCGTCGACCAGGAGACGACTCGTGACGATGCCGCCAGCGTAGAGCAGACGATCGCCTTTGACCACCTCAAGCACGGCATGGCGCTTTGCAACGACGCCTTCTTTGACCCCGCCACCGACAACCTCCCCATCGCCGAGCGCACCATCCAGGGCAACGCCACCGACGGTGCCGTGCTTCGTCTGTCCGCTTCGCTCCCCGGCTCGGACGACATCAAGGCAGCCTACCGCCGTGTTTACGACATCCCCTTCAACTCGAAGAACAAGTTCATGCTCACCGTCATGCGCTCCAACGCCGACAATGCCGCAGCTACCTCGGCCGACGACATGTACGTCAAGGGCGCTCCGGACGTTCTCATGCCCCGCATCTCGCACTACTACTCGGCCATCGATGGCGAGACCAAGATCTTCGACGACGCTGCACGATCCCAGCTTGTGAGCAGGCAGGAGATGTGGTCGCGTCGAGGCGAGCGTGTCATCCTGCTCGCCATGCGCCAGTTCCACGCCTATGCCAAGCCCGGCACCAGCGAATACGAGGAGGAAGTTGCGACTGCCAGCGAGTCCGACCTCGTCGTCATGGGTCTGCTCGGAATCATGGACCCTCCCCGCGCCGACATCCCTCACACCGTCTCCGAGTGCCGCAGGTCCGGATCGCGCTTCTTCATGGTCACTGGTGACTTTTCTCTCACCGCTGCTGCCATTGGCAAGATGGTCGGCATCTTTACCCACAACGGGGAGCCTGACCGCATCGCCGACTTTGACTTTAAGAACCGCTTCGCCACCGATGGTCCCGAGCTCAGCGAGAAGGAGCTCAAGAGGCTCAATGGCCCCAAGGACATCATCGAGGCCGGTCTGCTCGTCGAGGGCAAGGAGATCCCCGAGATCACCCAGCAGCAGTGGGACGTCGTCTGCCGATACGAGGAGATC